CAGCAATTAAGGCACAGATGGACATTGCAGGTGTGACTATCATAGATGCAGAACCACAAGACAGTAACTTTGTCAGAGAAGATGAAGACCTGCTAAACCTAAGACCATGGGGTGGAGATGAGATGCACAAAGATGTCAACACCAGAGAAAAACTGACTTGCAAGCAAAAGAAAGACTTACAAGATGTAGTATGCAAATGTCTTCACAGATAGACCAGGCAAGACAGACTCTGTGCAACACAAGATCTAGACCATGACCAGGGATCCAGTCAAGGGAAAGCACAACCAGATGCCCTATACAATGAGAGACCTGATCAAGCAAGAAGCCTTCGAATTATGCCTACTGTTCACCAGTGGTAATCGTGAAGAAGAGGGATGGCTTAGTTTTTGGGTTAGTCAATTCAGCAGCAGCATTCAATCACATGATGAAGAAGAATATTGCACAAAACTATCAGCATCAACCATTATGTGATTGAAATTCTGACCCACACAGCCAGAGGAGAAGACCACTTGAAGAAACACAGAGAGCTGTTCGGGTGGCAGGTCTGACTATCAGAGCATCTAAGTGCTATATTGGGTATTCTATGCTGGACTTTGTTGGACACAAGGTGGGTGATCGACAGATAGCCATGGAGAAGCCGAGCCACTTACAAGATGCACTAGCTTTGATGACCAAGCAACAACTACGATCCTTCCTGGGGTTAGTGGGATACCATAGGAAGTTCATCCCAAACTATGGTGAACCACTGACAGACCTGACCAAGAGAGGCTAACCCAACAAGGTGAAATGGAAAAAAACACAACAGATAGCATTATAGAAGTGGAAGAATATGTTAGGATGTTTGCCAATCCTTAGAATGCCAGACTTCAAGAAACTGTTCATTGTTCAGGCTGATACATCAGATGTTGGAACTGGAGCAGTACTTCCACAAGAACATGAAGACAGATTGTTTCCCCTGATATATATTAATTAAAAGCTGTGTAATAGTGAAAAGAACTACTCTGTGA